TCACTAGACGACTTCCAAGAAAAAATATTATTTGATCTATTTATTTGTCTCTTGCATGCGTACTGTTTAGAAATAAGATAACACTCTAGTTCTTAGAAGGGCCTTTATTCGAGACTCTTCCTACAACGCGTTTTCACTAGAGGACTTCCAAGAAAAAATATTATTTGATCTATTTATTTGTCTCTTGCATGCGCACTGATTAGATTTTGAGCCTTCTCATGGTTCTCGTGGTATCTTTTAGTTGCTGTTTAAAATTCTTGGTCTTCTAGGGGACCTTTGTTCGAATATTTATCACGCATGGTTTAGATTCTGAAATATTAGTCTCGCCTGCTAGATATTCCTTTAGTTTATTGTTTATGCTAAGTGCAAAGAGTTCCAGAGCGTAGGCGTTTAATATTACGTAATGTTTAAAGACAAATGTTAAAAATTTCTATTTTTTCAATAAAATAACTTGTAAATGAATAAATTTTTATTTAGAAGTAAAAAAATATTTATTGGATGATTATTCGGACGAAAAAAAAAGAAAAAAAAATCATGTTATAAGGATCGAACCTGCGACTACGGGCATGCGAGTCGGACACGCTACCGCCTTAGCCAGACGGCCGCTTGACAGGTGAGAAAACTTTCTTATGTATAAGCTACTTGGAAAATTTTAAGACGCTTTTTCTCGGAATTGGCTGGATAGTGCGCCCTATGACTGTATCTTTTAGTTGCTGTTTAAAATTCTTGGTCTTCTAGGGGACCTTTGTTCGAATATTTATCACGCATGGTTTAGATTCTGAAATATTAGTCTCGCCTGCTAGATATTCCTTTAGTTTATTGTTTATGCTAAGTGCAAAGAGTTCCAGAGTGTAGACGTTTAATATTACGTGAATGAAAAGAATCGTGGAGTCCACCGAACGTAACAGGGGCGTATTCTAATTCTAAGAATGGGAATCTCCAAAACTTTGACGAATTGAATTTGCGCAGAAGTGGGGATTTTTCAATTTTAGCAAATTAAAAATGTGCCAGTGTCTTCGTTAGGCGGGGTGTTTCTCCTACTTTTCATGTTTCACCCGTGATCATATTTACACCCTAAGGGTACACTACCATCACAAGAAGGCTGATCCCAAACTGAATTTCCCAACCCGTGCCTTCCCCTTGTAAAAGGATCATGTATTAAAGCTTTCTCGGTAATCGATAAACACCCGTGATGATCGTCCATTGGTGAGCTCGATATTCGTTCAAAGATTCCTTGCACATGATTAGATTAGAAAAAGGTCCTATTTTCCTACGATTATTTTTATTGCTATTGGTGCAGCTGTGTTTATTGAATATTTGTTGGAAAATTTTTTATTATTATAAAAGGATCATGTATTAAAGCTTTCTCGGTAATCGATAAATAATCTGGTTTGTTTAATTATGTAGATGTAAATGGAAGAGTATTGTTATTGTTATTTAATGAATCGCTTTCTGGTATTAATTCTCCGTTTTCTTCGATGTCTGAAAGATATAAATGGAATTCATCGTTTTCTTCTTCTTCTTCGCTATCGGATTTCTCTAATAATTCAGCAATTAATTGTGCATCTTCAGGGTTATCTGGGTCTAAAAGTTTCTTGTTTTTTAGGACTTTACAATTTACTTCTTCGATATTTACAGGATTTCTTGATAATGCGTCTGCTTTTATGTTTGTTTTCCTGCTTTATATACAACATCGTAATCATATTCTGCCAATTTTAATCTCCAACGAAGTATTCGCATATTTGCGTCTTGTGCATTTTTAAACCACATCAAAGGTTTATGATCTGTGACTAAAGTGAATTTTCTTCCGTATAAGTATGGTCGAAAATGTTTAACGCAATATACAATAGCTAGTGCTTCTTTTTCGTATGTATCGTATTTTAATTCATTACCTGTTAAGGTTCGTGAGGCGTATGCTATCGGTAGGTCTTTTTATTGAATATTTGTTGGAAAATTTTTTATTATTATAGATGCAGCTGTTTGTTGGGTATTACGCTAGAAAATTTTATATTGTTATTGATGCAGCTGTTTGTTGGGTATTTCGTTAGAAAATTTTATATTATCTTGTCGATGCCTCTTTATTTTTCCGCTGGCAAATTCTACTAAGGAATATCTATTGATTTTTATTTATCTCGAGGAGACCGACATAGTCTCCACCGATCCTTTACGTTGCTCTGTTTACTGAACGAAGCGTTTGTCTCACCAATCGACGATCATTACCGACACTTCGCGGAAGGAAGGAATCGTGGAGTCGCCCGGACGTAACACCCCCGGATCTGTGACTAAAGTGAATTTTCTTCCGTATAAGTATGGTCGAAAATGTTTAACGCAATATACAATAGCTAGTGCTTCTTTTTCGTATGTATCGTATTTTAATTCATTACCTGTTAAGGTTCGTGAGGCGTATGCTATCGGTAGGTCTTTATTTATTTCTCCTTGTGAAAATATTCCTCCAACGGCTATTCCTGATGTATCGGTCGTTAGAATAAATGGTTTGGAAAAATCTGGATATTGTAGTACTGGTTCTTCGCATAGTTTTTGTTTTAGAATTTTAAAAGATTCTTCCTGCACGGATGTCCACTCAAAGCGGGTATCGTTTTTTAATAAATTTGTTAGTGGTTTGGCGAATTTGGAATTGGTTTTACTCCGTCCTTACTGATTACGTGTCCTAGATAGGTTACTTCTGTTTTTAAAAATTCGCATTTATCTGGTTGTAATCTTAAATTAGCTTCACAAAGACGTTCCATTAAAGCGTTGTATTTCCTTTCGTGTTCTTCTAACGATGTTGCATAGATAACGATATCGTCCATATAAACGAATAATTCTTTGCCTTGTAATCCAGTTAATACTAAGTCCATTAGGCGCTGGAAAGTAGCCGGAGCATTTTTTAGACCGAACGGCATTCGATCAAATTCATACTGTCCAAAAGGAGTAGTGAAAGCTGTTTTATGACCATCTTCGCGGTTCATTTTTATTTGATGAAATCCAGATGCTAAATCGCATACTGAAAAATATCGAGCTCCTCCTAATTGGTCTAATATATCAACGATATTTGGTAAAGGATATGCATCTCCGATAGTTTTATCATTTAAAGCGCGAAAATCTAATACCATTCTCCATCGTTTATTTCCTTTGGAGTCTTCTTTCTTAGGTACAATCCATATAGGCGTGTTATATGGCGATTGTGAGTGTTTTACAATTCCTCTTTCCAACAGTTCTTCTATCTGCTTGTTTATTTCCTCTTTATGAATTTGCGGAAATCGATACTGACGAGTGTTTATTGGTTGGTCATCTATAGTAGGTATTCGATGTTGTAATACGTGAGTTGCGGTTAATTTTTCTCCAGGAATATGAAATCTATCTTGACTGTCCATTATTAATTTTATAATGCTTTTCTTTCTATTGTACTTCATTTAAATGCTCTAATCGTAACGATTCTATGATTTCGGCGAGTCGATTCTTCCCTTTTTCTTCGGAGATTGTTGGACAATTATGCAAATTATAATTTTCAACTTCTTGTTTTGTTTTATATCTTGTTTTGCGTTTTCGCGTAAATTTCTCTAAAATTTCTTGAGATTTATTTAACAAGGATGTAAGGATTTTTGAAGACGGTTTATTTTTATTTTTCATATTTCGTAGATTTGAATTTTTAATATTTAAATTATATTTTTGAGCCTATTCAAGGAGGTCTTTTATTGTAACATGAGAAGTTTTTAATTTATTATCATTTTCTTCTTTAAATAATCCAACCTTAGGAAATTTGGTATCCAGAGAGGATAAAGGACTTTCCCCTTTTTAGAATAAGATTTTGCCGAAATACGTAGTGAGGTTTGGTAATTTCCCTCCTCGCAATCGACGGAGCTAGGATTTTCTGACAAGGTTTGGAAATTTCCCTCCGAAATCTTAGAATTATTCTCTTCTTGAGAGGATTGGTAATTTGTCTCTTCGAGGGTTTTTAAATTAATTAAATTTTTAGGAGAGGTTTGGTAACTTCCCCCTCCAGGAATGGTTGGATTTATTGGATTTTTAGGAGAGGTTTGGTAATTTCCCTCTCCAAGGATTTTCGAATTGTTTGATTTTTTAATTTTTCTCTCAGTTTTATTTTTCATCTTGTCTTCATTTTTAATTTCATTCTTATTTTTATTTCCTTCTTGATTTGAGGTTTTTTCTTCGTCTTTCTAATTGATTTCTTCGATAATAATATTTTCTTCATTTTCATTTTCACCTTTGTTTTCAATATTCATGTAATTTTCATAATCGAATTCATTATGTGTTAGCGAGAGAGGTGGACGCGAGAGTGAGGAGTACTGCTAAATGTAATCTCGATGAGTAAGGAGGAAGCGGAACTGTATGAAAGACGAGCGACTTGACAATACGTAATTTATTAAAATAACTTTGTACATTTTCGCGGTTCGCAATAAGCTAAAGCAAGAGCGACTGTATTGAGAGCGGTCAACTCTTTCATCCCGAATTCTTAGAAATCATCGATCGGCCGAGCTATATCTCCTATCGCTTTAAACTCGATCTCGTTCAAGGCGCCTCGTCTTCCATCGTCTTTAATTTAATTTCGAACATCCCGCCCGCCTCGTCAGTAGCATTTGGCGAAATTTCTCTTAATTTGTACATAAGGAATCCCGGGAGTGAACGTTATTATTGCGCGATGTCGAGAGAAGACGAGAGACCTCAGTGCAGTGCAAAGTGATCGAGACATGAACCATGGAGTAAGCAGAAGTACTCCCCGAGAAGAGCGTGGCGAAGAGAACGGTATGTAGTACAGAGGTGAGTATCCGAGCTCGCGGCCGCCCACCCTTTTCTACTGTAATCACATGGCGCGATGTTAAGCCCGTCCGTTGCTTGATTGAACTGCTGGCGACGGGTCGCCGTCGCGCTTGCCTATTATTAACACATAATAATATGAGTATAGATAGAGAATAAAAAATTAATATTATTATATGCATGTTGTAAATTCTAAGTTAGAAAAACGTGAACCGCTTGAGCGATCAAATTTGAGCCTCCTTGCTTGCCTCGCTATCGGCGACCGGCAAAAGAATGAGCTTTACTATAGGCCGGGTTAATTCTGTGGTAGCCGTACGGAGGGTCACAACACGGATTTGACCGTCTTCTCCGGGATGGATCCGAATGATGCGTACCAAAGGCCATTTCGTCGGTGGCAGGTTTTCGTTTCGGATGAGGCATAATCGGCCGACTGTGAAGCCCGATTCCTTGTTCCACCATTTAGGGCGATGTATTAGCGAGTGGAGGTATTCCTGGGACCATCTTTCCCAGAAATGGTCCCGCATCTTTTGAAGGAGCCGCCAACAGGCCAGCTGGTTCATCGGCTGGTCCAGTAGGGAAGGTTCAGGTATGGCGGTCAGAGCGGATCCCACGAGGAAGTGGTCTTGCGTGAGGGCGGAGAAGTCTTCCGGATCATCTGAAAGAGCCTGAAGAGGTCGTGAATTAAGGCACGCTTCTACCTGAGCGAGAAGAGTGCTCATCTCCTCGTAGGTCAGGGTTGCCTCAAATGATGCTTGAGAGACTTGACGGCAGCCTCCCAAATCCCGCCGAAATGAGGAGCTGAAGGCGGATTGAATCGCCATTTAATTCTGTCGGCGGCGAGCTGTCCGATGATCGCCCGTTGTTCGGGACTGATGACTGCGAAGAAGGCCCGTAGCTGTGTGTCAGCTCCCACGAACGTCGTCCGGCAGTCACTGTGGATGGTTTGGCACAATCCGCGACGAGAGGTGAAACGACGCAATGCCGTCAAGAAGGCCTCTGCCGTATAGTCCGATACGACCTCCAGATGCACAGCCCTTGTGGATAGACAGACGAATACTGAGATGAAAGCCTTGTGCGCTCGATGGCCTCGTCCTTTTGTTGTCCGCAGCAAAATAGGTCCGGCGTAGTCGAGCTGGCGTCACCCGCTCGCAAGGCAGGCTGCCCATCAGCTGCTGTGGCGTCGCCGCCCGCCAACGCACACAAGTCACGCAGCGAAGAATTTGTTGTTTTACGATGGCTCGGCCTCTAGGGATCCAATAACGTTGTCGGATCATCCCCAGGGTCATCTATACTCCGCCGTGCAGCGTCCGACGGTGGCACGCCTCGACTATTAGTCGAGTGAACGTCGACTCGCTAGGCAGGATGATGGGGTAGCGCTCATCGTAATCCAGGATGGCGTGCTTGAGTCCTCCGATGCGGAGGATGCCCAGGCGATCTAGAAAAGGACTGAGTCTTATAAGTGGACTAAATTTACCCGGTCCGCGGTCCTTTCGCATGGCCTTTAGTTCGTCCTTGTACTTGGTAGATTGGACCAGCCGGAGCCACAATAGGCGTTCGTTCTCCAGCTCGGCTGTCGATAAAACATTACCGGAGAGTTGCTCAGCCTCGTCCGCCGCTGGACCGGCATTTCCTCGTTGCGGGAGCCATCGTCGGCACCACGCTGTCACACGCAGCAGTCGATGGTAGGAAGAGAACCGCAGCAACTCAGTGGGTTCTTCGTCAGGCGAAGGCTGAGCTTCGGCCACATGAACGCGGGTTCGTTCTTCGGGCAGATTCTCATAGGTAACCAGCCCGCTTGAAGCGGGCCAAGAAGAATTCCCTAGCTGGAGCCACGTGGGACCTTGCCACCATAGATGATGATTTACCAGTTCACCAGGAGAAAGTCCTCGCGTAGTCAGCTGGATTATCCCGTTCAGGGATGTGGTGCCATAGAGCGCCGGGAACTGTAGTCTGGATTTCGGCCACGCGGTTGGCGACATAATTCTTCCAGCGTGAGGGATGTCCCCGAATAGTGCGTATTTATTTCGGGCGTGAGTGAGCGCGAGAGTGAGAGTGAGACCATCAGGGAGCGCAACAATATATATATATACGTTTTTAGTATATTAATTAATCAAACAATTAAATGATACAGTACGGCGCATTCGCTTATGTTCTCTCTTATTTTACACGATCGAGAATATATTTACTGTGACTGCTAAGTTAAGTCTGTTTCTATTACTCTGTTTGATAAAATTTCAATTACTTTTTTTTTTTGTTAAAATTATTATCGTGATTCGTCTTCCAATTCTGAGGTTTCGATAAGTAGAGCGTTGTCCGAACGTGGGCAGCAAGCCGGGCGAGAAAAGCGGCAGCGCTGAGTTCTAGACGATGTAGAGTAATCTGTCGAATAGGAGCGACTTTAGTTTTAGCGGCTATCAAGCAAGTATGCCAGTCATTGTTGTTCTCGGTCCTCAGGTAAATGACGGCAGCATAGGCGCGCTCGGAAGCGTCGGCGAACCCATGGAGCTCAGTTTCGCCATCGAGTGCGCGCGGGCCGATCCACCGAGGAATCCGGATTTGTTCGAGCAGGGGGAGCTCGTTTTGATAATCTTGCCACCGTTTGACGGATGCTTTGTCGAGGAGGTTGTCCCAGTCGATGCCTTGCAACCAGGTAGCCTGAAAGGCGATTTTACAGTTCACAACAGCGGGCGCCAGCCATCCTAGCCGGTCGAAGAGTCGCATTGTTAAGGAGAGAACTGATCGCTTTGATATGTTCGCCACCGAGATCGTCCGCGTGGCGAATGAGAAGCAGTCCGTCCCGGGATGCCATTGAAGTCCGAGTGTGGCGTGGGTTTCAAGTTGAGTGACGAGATTTATTAAATACTCATCGTAATTTGTTCGATGGAACACGAGCTATTTTTTCAAAAACCAGCTCATATGGAATATGCTTTGTTGCTTCATGTACGCTCGTATTATAATTAAACATGGCAAGGCTGATCCATCCCATTGTTATTGTTCGTTCGCGTATTGTTTTAAATATTCGCCTAATGCTCGCCACCGAGATCGTCCGCGTGGCGAATGAGAAGCAGTCCGTCCCGTGATGCCATTGAAGTCCGAGTGTGGCGTGGGTTTCATGTGGTCGCCAGGCACGAGGCTCGCGTTGCATTTGATGTTTGATAGGCACTTCCGCAAGTATAGAAAACTCGTTCGCCGACCATTTCCGTAGAGGGAAGCCGCCCGCCGTGCAGAGTCCTGTCAGCTGGCGCTGAAGCTCCCGAGCCTCATCGAGGGTGGCGGCACTCGTGAGGATGTCATCCATATAGACGTCGCTGCGGATAACGGATGCTCCTATAGGATATCTCTGCTCTTCGTCGCTGGCGAGTTGTTGAAGAATACGCATTGCTAGAAATGGCGCACAAGATAGCCCGTAAGTCACCGTATTTAAACGGTATTCCTGGAAATCGGCTTGCCTGTCGTAGCGCAATATGATCCTTTGCAAGTCACGGTCGTCAGGATGGACCAAAATCTGACGGTACATTTTTTCGACATCTGTGGCCATACGATCTACAAAAGCTTCTGCAATGATAACAGAAGTTTGATTTGGTAATGGTATTCCCATGCAAAATTTAGTTAATTGGTCTTGCAATGTTAAAATATATTCGTTTCCTCTTTCGGTTTTAGGTAAAGGGCCTACGATATCCATGGCTACTTTATCAAAAGAAGATCCTGGTGTATCTGTAATTATCATTGGTTGTTTCGGGGCAGCAAATTAAGGCCGACCAGGAGGCGCCAATTGAGCGAATCGCCTGAAGCTGTTGTCGTCGAGCCGTTGAAGACGACGCGTAGCTTTGTCGAGGTACTTGACTCCCACATGACTCCGTGGTGGGGCAGGTAGCTCACGCGCTCTCCTGTTGGTTCTGATTGACCGGGCCCATGTGGCCCAAGGCCTCATACTGTTGCATGAAGTCTTCGTAGAGTTGATACAGGCGATGATCCCTGTCAAATCTTTTCTCCATGCCGGAGAAAACTCGCTGAGCGGAAAAACGCGTTGAAGAGAGGTCCGGCAGCGGCGCGACGACCGGCAACCGAACGAGGTATCGTCCCTCAGCTGTGTGAGCGTGGGTTTCGTTGTAGAAATTCTCACACTCTTGATCCTCTGGAGTCAGTTGCGAGCCAGAGACGGGCAGTTCTTCTTGCTGCCAGAATTGACTTACGAAAGAAGACAAGTCTTCGTCCGTTTGGCAATGGTACGACTGAGCGTTGCGCTGCATTGTTTCGCCAGTTGTCCCCGCGAGTCCAGACAGAACCCTGAAATCGGCTAAATTAGGCCCCGTTTGGGAGGGGCGAGAGGTCGAAAGTACGGGCGTATTCTAATTTTAAATCTTTGGTTATATTTCGTAAATCTGTTAAGATTTTAACAATTTGATTGAGAGTAGCCGTAGGGCTTCTCGCTGTTCTTCGCTGACAGGTAAAGCCACATGATAATGGTTTTTATGTTTTATGGCCTTGATCTTTCCTAGAACAAGAGATCCTAGGTTTGGAAGCTTCTTTCGTTCGAAAAGTTTTTGTGAGCCTGAATATAAAGATCTTCCCTGGGTGTCGACGAAATATATCATATTATCTTTTCGTAAAAATAATATTTCTCGAGAGTCTATGACGTTACCATGAATTACTCTATTTTCAATATATGCGGGTTTCGTTTCTCTTGATTTTAAATTTTTGTTAATAATATTTTGTTCGTTTTCTTCCTCGTCTTCTTTTTCATTGTCAGAATCTTTATCAGGCGGATCATTTCTTTTTGCGATTTCTTCGATCTCTCCCTCGTCGCTGTGCAATTCGTCGGTTATTTTATTTTGCTCAATATTTTGTCTTTCAGTTTGGTTTTTTGTTTGAATTTTATTTTGGGGAAGGCACGGGTTTAACAAGGGGAAGGCACGGGTTGGGAAATTCAGTTTGGGATCAGCCTTCGTGTGGTGGTAGTGTACCCTTAGTGTGTAAATATATTAAAGTCATAGGGCGCACAATCCAGCCAATTCCGAGAAAAAGCGTCTTAAAGTTTTCCAAGTAGCGCGTAAAGTTTAGGTGTTCGAATAGTAGTAATAATAGAAATTTATAAACAAGTGTTCAAACAGAAAATATATTAAAATTGTTCGTTTCGAAGTAAACGCAGTGATAATTTCTTTATATTCCCCGGACCCGGGTAGGAACTCTGGTAGATTGTTTCAGATTGTTCCGGGCTTTGGTATCCATTAAGGGTGCCGATTATTCTGATAGAAGCTGCTTGGCGAACTAATCGCAATCGTCGTGCCAGTAAAGACGTGATCATCGACGAGTCGGAACCCTGATCTAAGAGGGCACGCGCGGTGTACACGACTCCGTCTTAATCTGTTACGCGAACGCGAGCTGTAGCTAGAAGCACTGTTGCTTCTTGAGACCGCTGCGCGAAGTGCAAGGATGTCGCGACTTCGCTTTTTTAAAATGCATCATGCAATGTCGTGTGGTGACGCGCGCGACACGATGAGCTTGTTTTCTACGAGGTACACTCACTTAGTTTATGCTTGCCGAGGCAGTTGAAGCAAAGATTGTTAGCTTCAACGTGTTGTCTCCTTTCCGCGGCGGTCTTGGCCTTGTAGCCGTCACAAAACATGATGTAGTGATCTTGACTGCAGATAGAGCACTGTCCGCGTTTGTTCGCGGGTTTACGAGCATGAAGTACGCGCGTCGGACGCCCCGATTTTAGACTTGACTTCGCAGGGCTAGTCTCCGGTTGACTAGACTGCAAGGATTCGAGCGTATGAAGCCGACGGTCTATGAATTGTTGCAACGCGGTATATGACGGAGG